CTAAGTAAACATGTATAATATATAATCAAATAAATAAGAAACGTAGAACATTTATTAGCAAAACGAATAAAAAAGCTTGGAGGCACTTGTGGAACCAAACCAATTAAATAAGAAATGAATGTTTAAAAAAACTTCCAAAATCAGCTTAGATAAACGGCAAAAGTCAATAGGCTTTTCAAAATCCAAAATATTGCTAAACAGGTGCTTTTGTCACGTTTCGAAAACTAAATCATCCGCCATCGTCTTGTCTGTCTCACCTCACTCTTCTTGTTAGTCAGCTCGACTCACTCTCCTCACTGGAGAAATTAAATCTGATCTGTGATGTGACTGTCGTTTGGCATGCTGCATTGAGCAGCCGTGTTCAGTTTTTAATTGTAGTGTCTGTTCTTTTACTGAACTAAATGATTTTTAGTACTATAAAAAATCTAAATGACGGTGGGGGTCGGTGCCGCGTTGGGCAAGTGACGTAACCGGTGTTGTGGCTTAACGGTGCTGCGGTATCACCATCATCACCGTCTATCATATAACATCGTATAACATCCACACACCCTTAATGCTCACCTGTTCCTCCAGGCCAGCAAAATGAGATGGGCTGAATTATTCCCCTTTTCCATGGACACAGCGCCGAATACAAGACAGCTCTGGGTCAGAAAAATGGTGGTCTCAAATCAGGAACTGACGCAAAACAAAACTAGATCACTCCTATCATTATCAACCAAGTTATTCAGGCTGGAAGCATTCGGTTGACAGAAACCACATTTCTGTTGTTGTCAAATTACACACAGACTCTAGACACTTTATTTACCTTTTTCATATGAAATAAAACTATAGTGTCATTCCGGATCAACTCAACAAGATGTTCCCGGCTAAAAATTATTTAGAAATTTTTTTTCTGGTTAAAGTAATACAAAAATGAAGAAAAAAGCCAACGTATAAAATGTCATGGATGTACATTTACTGAGTAACTTACTATTTTGTAGAGGGGGGTCAAAATGACCATTTTCACCTGAGATTCAGAGCCAAATTACAGGAGGGGTAAAAATGACTTCAGAAAGATGGCAGCATCATTATGCTAGTTTTACACAGAGACTGGTAGGTCTTTTAGTAAAATCTGTTGACTTTAGCAATCTTTGTTGCATTATTTGCCATTGGTGACGATTCAAAAATGGGGGGGAAAAAAAACTTTTCAGTTTTCCCTGATGTTTGCATGGCTGTAACTCAAGAAGTATTAAATATATCTTCAAATGCTTTTAGATTTTGGTTCTTAATAAAGTTTTGGCCTTATATGGTTAATTTCCAGGTATATTGGGATTGCACTGTGGCTCCATGAGTAAATTGCTAAGCTTTTCAGTGGTCAAAAACCACATGTGGGTCACTTTGCATACAACTGATACTAACTGTCACCATCGGCGTATAATGCAAACAGACCAAATAGAACTGACAATCTCTGCGTAAAATTAAATAATGATGCTGCCATCTTTCTAAAGTCATTTTTTACCCCTCCTAATATCAGGTAAAAATGTCATTTTGACCCTTCTCTGCAATATAGCGAAGTAAATATGATTTGACAAGCAATGGCCCTGACTTACAAATATAATGCTCTCAACTAGTAACATGATTTCAAAAGTCGTAAACAGAGGCATCATGCACCGTGTGTTTGTGGGCAGGTTGCAGTGTGTGTCATCATTTGACTCTCTGGTCAGTGGAAACGTGGGCTGGTTCTGAGAGTTTCACTGATACACTAGCAAAGCAGTGTCTCTGTGTGTGTGTGCGCGTGTGTGTGTGTGCTGTAGGGTCGGTCTCTACTGTTGTACACATGTGAGCAGGTAGATCGAGTTCTTTAAAGTAAGAATCTTTGGCAAAGTAGAAAGGCACTGCAAGACGCACTCTTTGCAGGAAAGCATATTTTTTGTTTGTGCTTGCGCAGCTGAATGGTTCAGTCCTATTTGAGCAGACACTGGGTGGGGAGTTTGGTTGTTGAAGACTTTTAAGTAGATAAATGGAGAAGTTGAGAAGTTCACTTCCTGTTTGGTTTAATTTCAGAATGGGAGGTGTAGCATTTTGCTTTGGGCAGTCATAACACACACCTGCAATCTAAAGGATTAGTTCACTTCTGAATTAAAATGTCCTCATAATTTCCTCACCCTCATGTCATCCAAGATGTTCATGTCTTTCTTTCTTCAGTCGAAAAGAAATTAAGGTTTTTGAGGAAAACATTCCTGGGTTTTTCTCTATATAGTGGACTTCAGTGGGGTTCACTGGGTGGAAGGTCCAAATTGCAGCTTCAGTGCAGCTTGAAAGCGTTCTACACGACAAGGAAGAAGGGTCTTATCTAGCGAAACGATCAGTCGTTTTCTAAAAAAGAATAAAAATGATGTTCTTTTTAACCTCAAACGCTTGTCTTGTGTAGCTCTGCAATGCGCATGCGTACTTGGTGCAGTCCCATTCTCCTCCAACTTCAAAATCGTCCTACATCGCTGCAGAAGTACCGACCCAGTGTTTACAAAGTGAACGTGCAAAGAAGGCCAAACGCCCTTTACAAAAAAACGGTAAAACAGCGATGTAGGACGATTTAGAAGTTGGAGGAGAAAATGAGATGGGAGTTTTTCGATATACCCTAACTGTCATGAACCGGAAATGCACAGAGTTCACGCAGAATTTTGAGTGTTTGAGGTTAAAAAGTATTTAAATTGTAATTTTTTTTAGCTTCAAATATACTTTACAGTATAAAAGATGCTTTGCTTCTTATTAAAGCAACTGTATTAAAGTTCTTCAGTCAAGAGCAGGAGGGATTTTTCTCTTTGTGTTTTGTTGTTTTATTAAAGGGATAGTTCACCCAAAAATGAAAATGTGATGTTTATCTGCTTACCCCCAGGGCATCCAAGATGTAAGTGACTTTGTTTCTTCAGTAGAACACATATGATGATTTTGAACTCCAGCCGTTGCAGTCTATCAGTCGTATAATGCATGGCAATGGTAACAAAATCTATGAGAGTAAAAAAAACATGCACAGACAAATCCAAATTAAACCCTGCGGCTCGTGACGACACATTGATGTCCTAAGACACGAAACGATCGGTTTGTGCGAGAAACCCAACAGTATTTATATCATTTTTTACCTCTAATACACCACTATGTCCAACTGCTTTGAGTGCGCGCACGGCTTCCGGTGCGTGAGGTGTGTACATTTTAATTTTTGTGTGAACTATCCCTTTAATGACAAGCAGCAGCATGTTTAGTGCTATTAGTCTGCTGTCACTTTAAGACCTGCACACATCTAACATACAGGAATGCATCCATTCTTTTCTCAACTGTTTACTTTCACTTTAGACATAACCAGCTGTTTAATATGCAAACCTTGTGTGTTTTTGACAGTATTAGCACATTCAGACATTCATAGATTTGTAATTTCTAGTTTAATTAAAGGAGTAATTCACCTTTGGCAAGATGGGGTTTTAATAAAAGTTGGCAAGGCTAATGACAAAGTTTGCAAGGTTAGTGAAATTAAACGTTAATTAGATATTCAGAAACTTGTTTAAATGAAATGCATATTTTCTGTATGCTGACGGTAGATGACAAAGTATTATAGTGTTTGTTTTTTTGTTATTAATAATAGTAAAGCAAATGTTGGAATGCTTTTTGTATACCCTTTCTTAACTTAATTTAAAAGTTCTGTATAATAATTTATTAATCAGAAACGGTAAACTGATGAAGCACAATGGGACCTCCATGCACTCATGTTCTGGTGTGATCAGCGTTGTCAAAATAAAAGTCCTGCTTACAGCATATCGTCCAAACAGAAAAAAAAAGTTAAAAAAAAACCAATAATTAAAAATACCAAATATTGGCCGATATATCGGTCTCTGCGATATATAGCGCTCAACCACTACCCACAATGCACTGGGTTCAATTCAACTGTATGTGAGCAGGGATACAAAAATGCAGAAGTACGGTCTGTAGTTTGTACAAAAGCCATGAAACTGTCAAAAGATTGCCAGATAACTATAACAATACAAAGCTGGCTGAAACTTACCCTTTAAGTTATTTTCCTCACGAGGACCATTTGCCGGTCCACATGATGTAAGTGATTTCAGACTTTACTGTCCTTGTGGGAACATTTCAAAAGCGGACTCACAATTAATAACAATGAAAGTTCCTTGGCCTTATTTTGATGTTGATTTATTGAGAATAAAGTGATATTTGTTGTAACAGGGAGGTTAAGTGCATCTTAGAGTCAGATTAGTTGATTAAACACTCTCACTCAAACAGACGCAGCCGTTCTGCTTGAATGGGATGATCTTCTTTAGTCCAGTCTGTCCTCAAGAGACTGCATGTGCTTAAACTTGGACCCTCATAATGAGGCATTGTAATTACTTTGCTAGTGCATGGGAAAGAATGACGGATGAATAGCAGACCTGTTTGTGTGTGTGTGTGTGTGTCTGTGTGTGGACAAGATGATGCAACAGGGAGTTATTTGAGTGTATTTATTTACTTGTTTGTGTGCACTCAACTAGAATGGCAACTTAATAATCAATCATTTTATTCATTGTCATCTCCATTCATTTAGGCAAAAAAAGTCGCTCAGTTTAGTCTGAATCTGTATGGGACAGCAGAACAGCGTGAGAGCTTGTTTAATGAGATCATGTTCTTTGTAGTTTCAGTGATTCTCCTTTAATGTAATTCAGGTGCAGCTGTGTGACCAGCTTGTTGTGTTTGTCCAGGGCGACGCTGACACTGACACAGAGGACACAGCAGCACAATATAGGCTACACAATGAGATTCTTGGAGTTAAGGTGCAGTCACATTAGCGTTTTCATGGCAAACAAGTTCCAGTAGTGTAGCGATATATGAAGCACATTTACACAGAAGTCACTTTCAAACCAAGCTAATTTTTTTTTGGTGAACGCAACAAATTCACTTAACCAACTTGAACCTGATGTGAAATCTGCATGTGGAAATATTTCATCCTCATGTGAAATTCAAGATTGTGAGACACAAGTTTCACGCATTTTCAGGTTGGTCACATGAATTCAGTACGTTGAGCTGTGTGAGTGGTGGTTCTTACGTCTCTACGCTATTAAGAAGAGACAACTGACCTTTTTTTGCTTGCAAAAATTCGCTGCACTTTAATGTGACCACTCCTTTATTATGATCATGTAATAGTCAACATGTAAAACTTTTGCGTTCTCTCACAAAAGTATTGTGTTGTGTATTGTATTGCGCCGCGTAAACATAAAACCATGTCTGTATTTGTGAGCTGAGAAATTACAAACAATAAGCGAAACAATAATGTACATTATGTGGGAAATAATGTGTTTTTTGAACCTTAAACCGCATAAACACATTGCACCAAATACACAAAATAATGTTCTTTTTAGCAGCATCATATGACCCCTTTAAGTAAAAGTATAGATATCTTACCAGAAAATGACTTTGGTAGAAGTTAAAGTTACCGTTTAGAATATTACTTGAGATATTACAGTGGGTATAGAAAAGAATCACCCCCCAGTCCCTGCTGCAGAGAAACACCCCAGAACAGGATATCACCACCTCCATGCTTTACTGTAGGAATGGTGCTATTTGGATGCTGAGCTGTATTGGATTTCTGCCAGACATATTGTTTGGTGCTGAGGCCAAATAATCCAGTTTTAGTCTCATCTGTCTCAGAATCTTCAAGGTGTGTTTTGGCAAAGCTCAGTCGTGACTGCATGTTGCCTTTCTTGAGGAGTGCCTTTTTTCTTGCACCCCTCCCATACAAGCCACATTTGTGGAGAATTTGTGATATTGTTGTCACATGCACACAATGACCACTCTTTGTCATAAGTTCCTGCAACTGCTTCAGAGTTACTGTAGGCTTCTTGGCCGCCTCTCTGACCAGTTTCCTCCTGGCTCTTTCACTCAGTTTGGAGCGACGTCCCTCAGAATCTTCAAGGTGTGTTTTGGCAAAGCTCCAGTCATGACTGCATGTGGCCTTTCTTGAAGAGTGGCTTTTTTCTTGCACCCCTCCCATACAAGCCACATTTGAGGAGAATTTGTGATATTGTTGGCACATGCACACAATGACCATTCTTTGTCATAAATTCCTGCATCTGCTTCAGAGTTGCTGTAGGTCTCTTATATTTTTATATATTATTTATTTATTTATTTTTATATTATTATATAAATTTTTTCCATCACATGTCCCCTTAGGGGCTCCGTAGTTTGGAAGAGAATGCAGCTATGCTGCTAAATTAAAAGATGCTTAAAGTACTGCGTATTAAAGTTAATTCATAAATTAGAATATTCTAGATAAACTAGTTAACTAGTCAAGTTCAGAATTGCTGTTGAACAGAATCATAACCAAATATCAGATTTCATGACGCATTGATTGCATCATTTCGTGAAGTGTTGTAATCAGATTGAAGAGTAAATTCCTTACTGGGGAGCTCAAGCCTCGTCACTGTGGCTGCATGTGTGAGTGACGCTGACACAGCCGACCTCAGTCAATCCACTGTTGCCTGGGCAACCCAGGTCAAGCTGATTCGGGTCCACCTACCCATAATGCTTTAGTGTGTAAATCTGCTGTGATGCTTTCAGGCCTGGGGTAGGCTGGCTCACGTGCACCTTTACTGAAGATGAAGTGCTTTGTGTGTGAACTCACTGGATTAGATTTAAGACTGAAAGTGTGATCTTGTCATAATTAGATATGGCTTCACTGATTATTTCGAAATAGACTGTTGCATTCTTAAAGAGCACATACGATTAACTTTGTCGTGTGTGTGAGAGAGAGAGAGAGAGAGAGAGAGAGAGAGAGCGAGAGAGCGTGAGAGGTCCATTCAGTTGCTGTTTTTGTTAACACTCAGGGTTCAGTGGAGATGCACAGAGGGCTGTAGTTGTGTGGCGGTGCTCTCAGCTTGTCTCATTTGTGTCTGGTCCTCTTACACAATCTCTCTCTTACACCTAGATTGTAGGAGTGATTGAAAAAAAAAATCAATTCACTTTAGGCACCTGATTTTTTTTCAAATGATTCAGCGTTGATTCACGACAGAACAGTTTACAATGAAAACGTTTGTTTTATTCTAAAAAAGTAATTAAAGTACATTTAATAAGTTTAAATAAAAAAATTAAATTGACAATAATCTAAATTGTATTATTAAAGGGACAGTTCACCCAAAAGGATTTGTCATCATTTCCTTATGTTGTTCCAAACCCATGTGACTTTCTTTCTTCTGTGCAACACAAAACATGATATTCTGAAGAAATGCAGTTACTATTCACAGGGACCGAAGCAGCTTTTAGGCTTCAAAAGGACACACAGTGTGCCATAAAACATTATAATAGAAAACGATACACCAAAATATACTATATTTTACATCTTTAGTTAACTGACAGCATTGTGGGTTGAACGGAACAGTACAAAGTCACTCATTAATCAGACATCAAGACATCACTGATGAACATGACAGATACAGGGTCTGAGTAACCATTAGGCAATTAGGCACGTGGCCAGGGGCACCATGTCCTGAAGAGGCAGCAGCGCAGGCTCTTATTCCCGGTTCAGACTACATCAGTTTACAATGAAAACGTTTGTTTTATTCTAAAAAAGTAATTAAAGTACATTTAATAAGTTTAAATAAAAAAATAAAATTGACAATAATCTAAATTGTATTATTAAAGGGACAGTTCACCCAAAAGGATTTGTCATCATTTCCTTATGTTGTTCCAAACCCATGTGACTTTCTTTCTTCTGTGCAACACAAAACATGATATTCTGAAGAAATGCAGTTACTATTCACAGGGACCGAAGCAGCTTTTAGGCTTCAAAAGGACACACAGTGTGCCATAAAACATTATAATAGAAAACGATACACCAAAATATACTATATTTTACATCTTTAGTTAACTGACAGCATTGTGGGTTGAACGGAACAGTACAAAGTCGCTCATTAATCAGACATCAAGACATCACTGATGAACATGACAGATACAGGGTCTGAGTAACCATTAGGCAATTAGGCACGTGGCCAGGGGCACCATGTCCTGAAGAGGCAGCAGCGCAGGCTCTTATTCCCGGTTCAGACTACACGATTTTAGCCCGATTTTGCCATGATTTGCTTGACGTAGTGGGGATTCGTAAACGACAATGGGCGTTTCAGCACGTGTAAGTGTGTCATAGTGGACGACAACCGATCCCGCGTCTGCGATGCTTCACGACAGAAAGACTAGCACGTTTAATTTTTTTTCCGTCGTCCACGACGAGTTCTGTCACATTGGTGACGTTGACCAATACCAGCACAGAAGCTCTTTCATACACAGGAATCAAACATGGCGAAACGAAAGAATTATGAGATGGAGGAAAGGTTCGTGGAGCTGTGGCAGCAGTACTCCTGCCTGTATGATGTGTCATCGAGGGACTACCACAACAGAACAAAGAAAGAAAAATGCTGGCGAACTATAGCTGAAGCGCATCAGCAATGTTTACACTCTTGATTTCGGAAGTCAGTCGCTAGTTCCGCGTCATTAAAGATGGCACACGATGAATGGTCGGGAAGCAATGTGTAGTCTGACATGTTTCTTGTCCACGACACGACGAGATTTTATGAGTCAAAATCGTGTAATCTGACACAGTGACTATCGTGACCGACAAAAATATTGTGTAGTCTGAACCCGGCATTAGACATATTTACAATGAATTGACAACAAATTATGGGTTTGCTGGATTGAGTTCGCACATTCTTTGTATTTTAAAGTCAAGAAATTGGGGGCAATATTGGCCCAAGAAGTGTGGACGGACACATAGGGCCTGTCAAAATGCCCACACTTGCAGATCTTTGAATCTGATCACTTTGTGTACTTACAGTACGTGGCGTATTTCCTGTATTTGGTCCAAGTGTTGAAGTTTGTATGAATATCACAAGTGTGTGTAGAACTGCTGATTAGCCAATGATACACACATACAACACAGTGTTGTAAAAATGCAAGTGAAGTTTTTATTTGGATTTTCAACTATGCACATTAAAACAATCTTGTATTTCAGGCCACATGAGTTCTTGAACCTGATGAATGATGGGATGCACTTGGCCTCAAAAACGTGATATTAGAGATAGTGTGGGTTAAGGGCACTGAGCATTGTTTTTTTTTACGCACTTATTGCATGCACACATTCTGAAGTGCCTAGGCCGCAAGTGTGGTACTGGGACAGACACATACTGTGAAAATCCACTGGAAATAGTATACCATCCGGACAGTTTTAAAGTACTACTTTCAACACTGCTGTAAAACAGATACGTGACTTTAACCGAACCGTCTCTTCCTGCAGCGACTGCCATGACCACAGACGAGGCGGAGAGCGTTCATAAGAAACAGGTGTGCGAGCAGCAGCAGGAAGAGGAGGACCCCGCTGCACAGGAGCCAGGCCCCGCTGACACCGCTCAGGACAGCCCCTCCGGCACCTCGCCGCCCCCTGGGGGTTCGGAGGAGGAACAGCAGCTGAAGCCGCGTCAGCGCACCTCCACTGGCCGCGGCCTCTCCCGCCTCTTCTCCTCCTTCCTGAAGCGCCGCTCACAGTGCTCTGAGGGCGAGGGGGTGGAGACGGAGAGGGCCCGGGAGAAGAACAGCCAGGAAGAACCCAAAGCTCCCATAGCGGACCCTGAGCCAGAACTGCGCATAGAGGGCGATGTTGCTCTAGACCAGCACTCAGTCAGCAGTGCTGAAAACCAGGTGAGAAAGAGAAACAGATGTGTTCAAGTAAAGGTTACATTTGTAATTGATGCTAAAATTAGAGCCAGATTTAAAGGGGTCATACGTCGTTGCTAAAAACATTATTTGGTGTATTTGGTGTAATGCAATGTGTTTACGCGGTTTAAGGTTCAAAAAACACAATATTTTCCACGTACTGTACATTATTTCTGAAACGTGATGATTTTTACAAAGCTCATCGGTCTGAAAAGCAAGGTGTGCTCTGATTGGCCAGCTATCCAGTGCATTGTGATTGGCCAAATACCTCAAGCGTGTGACGGAAATGTTACGCCCCTTACCAGGTTCAGGAAACTTTCCTCCGTAAGATGCGCTTCACACACTCGAATATTTGGGTTGAAGTGTTCTGCAACAGTGTTGTAAATACAACTTAACCACTGATTTCTAGTCGTGTCCTCTTTTGGAAGGCCAAACATTATTTCTGAAACGTGATGATTTTTACAAAGCTCATCGGTCTGAAAAGCAAGGTGTGCTCTGATTGGCCAGCTATCCAGTGCATTGTGATTGGCCAAATACCTCAAGCGTGTGACGGAAATGTTACGCCCCTTACCAGGTTCAGGAAACTTTCCTCCGTAAGATGCGCTTCACACACTCGAATATTTGGGTTGAAGTGTTCTGCAACAGTGTTGTAAATCAAATTAACCACTGATTTCTAGTCGTGTCCTCTTTTGGAAGACCAAACAAAGTAGTTTTGCTTTCGCAAACAAAACAAACCTTCTTTCTTTGCGTATAGATTTGGTCATGTTATGCAAATCTTCCCACACAGTGACGTAGACATGTGGGGGCGTGTTTGATCGAGGCGTTTTAGGAAAGCGTGGCTGAGCGTTCATTTTTATAAAGAATATCTCTTTGGGTTTGAGACTTTAATCTTTACTGATCTTCTGTATGCACGAATAGCTTTTAACACTCCAAAGACAAAGGAAAACATGAAATCGCTTCATATGACCCCTTTAAGATTTAACTCTGACAGAAATTCAGTGATGTCAAGGCTGTTGTAAACCTAACATCATACCTGTTCCAGATGTTTAACAAAAGTGATATTATTTGTTTTATATGGGTTTTATATATATTTATTGTATATTTTTATTTTGTATGTTTTATATATTTGTTTTTATGTTGAATTATTGTTTATATGGTGGAATTTGCTTGAAGTGGAATTGAAGCATGATATGTAAAACTTTTCTTTTTTAACAAACCTCTATAAAAAGGACAAAATGCACAATAAAAGTAGTGATGCACTGAAATAAATTTTATTACCGAAACTGAAATTAATGTAGCTGAAAATTAAATTAATCATGTAATTAATCATATTTATTTTACTATTAACACTCAAATCCGAGTATAAACATTTAAATTGCACATAAGGCAGATTTTATATCAACTTTTTAATGATATACTTATGTTTCTACTCTAAGTCGTTGTTAAATATATACATTTAAATGGTGGCTGTCAGAAAAACCTGTTTTCATGACAGATTTATTAAAAAATGCATTAAATATTGAAGACAGGGTAAAAATATAATCTAAATGTAATATAGACCATTTTTAAGGAATGTAAACAATAACAATCTAACGCAACAGTTCTAACACATTTCCAGATTACGTTTTTAATTTCCATAACTTCTGAGCATCAGAAGTTGTTTTGAAGATGTTTTACTGATGTTTTCTCGCACTTGAGACACTGATTGGGCGATTACATGAGTCATGATACATTTTAGTAAGTTGTACAGTTTTTTTTTTCAACATACCTTTCATATTCATATCAAATAATGTTTAGTGATGTTTTATTCAGGCATCAACTGAAAATAGCATAGACTAAAAGACTAAAGATCTTGGTTGATCAAAATGAAGATCCATTAAAATTGAGAAATCGATATTGTTAAACCAGCCCTAGCATCAATGTTCATCCATTGTGTTTGCAGAAAATAGACACCGACACTGTCAAAATGTCTCATTAGAGTGGTGCTAATTAAATGTCACCATTTCGGCGAATGATTTCGACCCTCCAAATCTGTTTTGGCTAAAATAAAAGTGTTCCACATGACTAAATCCTAAGTCTTCTGAAGAAAACCAGTAACACATCTCCAAGACTTTTAAAAGTCAGCGTAACTCTCAGCCTACTGGTGTGTGGGCTTACTGACAGATATGTCCTCAGGGTGACAACTGGATGTTTACACTTTTGCATGTAGCAAGGGATGTCTGTGCAAAGGCAACTGAACTGTGGAGCTTCACACATCTCACATTCACAAACTTACGGTCAAAGGTTGTGTGTTAAACCTTCTCTGTGCAGCTCTCATCTGCTGCAGCAGCACAGTACACTAAAAGCTTTCTGAGAGGCTGTTCATACTGAACGGCTGGTATTTTAGGCATTGCTAACTGCTGTCAACATGCTTCAGCTTTTTTCCCCAATGCTTTTCATTATTTATTCCACTCTCTTTTCTCTTGAATATTTGAATAGTTTTAAAGAGATGGCTCACCCATAAATGAACATTTTGTCATAATTTACTCACCCTCATGTTGTTCCAAACCTGTATGAGTTTCTTTCTTCTGTTGAACACAAATTAAGATATTTTGAAGAATGTTGGTTACCAAACAGTTGCTGGTGGCCATTGCGTTCAAAAGTATTTTTTGATTGGAGAAGTCCTACATTCACCACCAGAGATACATTTTTGATTAAAAATTAAACGTAAATTAAACAAAAAATGAAACATATGCTCAAATTAATCGTTCATAAAAAGATCCATAACATGCATTAAAAATAGAGTGATTTTTCATTTCATTCCGACTTCAGGAAGGTTTTTCTAAAGTAAGTCAAAATGTGCATTAAGGTGATAGAAACACATAAACGATGACATGGAGGTGTCATTGGACGTGGAGGAGGAGGCAACACACTGAGGATTGATTTACATTTATGCATTTGGCCCACTGTAAAAAAATGTCAACTTAATTCAAATAAAAAATTTAAGGCAGCAACTGAACTTGTCTTTGCGCATAATTGAATTGGCTGTAAAAGTCATTTGAATCCTTAATGAAATCTACTTGGCACAAACTGATTGGTCTCTGCTGCATAATGAGCTTGCTGCTCAAAATTTAAATTTTGTGGTTCTGAAACCCTCCACCTCCCCCAGCACCACCTGTATAGATCTGCTATGGGTCATTTCCTTTGCTATTTGTACAGCAGCAGTGTGTCTTACATACTCACAGAAGCATGTCTGTGGATGTACTGGCAGCATTGGCAAGTCTTTGTATTTGCTCTGCAGGATCAGCCATTACCATGCCAGAATATTCCAAGAGTTGTTATGATTGAATATTAAAAATGTTGAAGTAATGGAAAAATGTTACCATGACTTACTGATCATGTAATTGTTGGTGGTCTGCTTTAAACCATGAGGATACATTTGCAAAATTTTTCATAGTCAGTGTTAGTATCATCAGAGACTGAAAAAATGGCTTTTAGTTTACACATAGTTTGTTTACACATACAAAATGATTGTTTATTGTTAAGCAAGTTGGCCTAATTTCAAAAACTCTGAAAGAAGCATTCTGTAAGAAACCCTGATTCTAGCAAAGGTACAAATTTGTCATCCTCCAGCAAATAGTTGTGTAATAATCTAATCTTCGGATATTTAAAATGTTTAAATTTGTCTTCCTCCAGCAAATCGTAGCGGATCAGAAGGAAGACGCCGAGCTGGAGTCCGGTAAGGGAGAAATGGGGGAGAAGGGGGAAAAGAAGGAGAAGAAGGAAAAGAAGAAAGAGAAGAAGGAGAAAGCAGATAAGGAGAAGCCGGAGAAGAAGGAGAAGCCAGAGAAGAAGGAGAAGCCAGAGAAAAAAGAGAAAGCAGAGAAGAAGGAGAAAAAAGAGAAGAAGGAGAAGAAAAACGAGGACAAGGCCAAAGGAGAGGAGGGAGAGAAAGACAAGGAACGCGAGAAGGAAAAAGAGAAAGTAGAGGAAGAGGCCAAGCCGGAAGATGCATGTGCGGCAGAAACAGAAGTAAAGGAGGAAGGAGAAAAAGAGGAAGAGAAACAGGAGGAGAACATGGTGGAGGAGGAGGAGGAGGAGGAGGAGGAGGGGAAGAAGCAGAAAGCATCTCGCCGCCCCAGGATCATGCACTGCAAAGTCAAGCTGCTGGATGATTCTCTCTTCGAGTGTGAGCTGGAAGTAAGCGACATACGCACACACACAGAGCACACAACTGCTGCTTTTGTTGCTTATCAAGTGCGGCGTATCGTTGTCTAGTCCCAGGAGAGCGACTCTGAAACTCAAGCGTTGCTCAAGGGCTTTTACTTCCTTTGCTAATTAACTCTCAGACTACCGAGAGACTATTTCTGCTGATGTGACACTTTGGACTGTTTTTGTTGCCACCGTACCGTGTGGTTCATGTCTCTACAGAGACAGCATCCTAAGCGAAACAGAACATCCTTATTAGCAGCAACCTGACCCGTAAGTCTCGCTTTACCTTCACAGCTGTTTCTGCTGTTAGCATGTAGCGAGCTCAGCTAACAGTTCGATTTCCACACAAGAGGCATGTTCAGAATGGAATACAAGTCAACTGTATACGTCAAAAATAGTAGGACAAACAGTCTGCATAATTCCACGTTTCAAACAGCAGTGTGCTACTTTGTCACATGACCTCGCTACTTTGCATGTGAACTAGTTATCATCTTGTAAAAATGTCTTAGTCTTTCGCAGTCCCACAATAGTAATTAATCAAAAACACGATGTCCCTAATAACTTCCAGTTGTGTACTTGGATATGTAGTCATCTGGGTATTCCATGCATAGAGACAATTTTCTTAATGTGCACAGTATACTTTTTATATTATGGAAGCACATTTCTGCCACATAGTATCTCGTAATTTTCACTTTTTATGTCATAATCATGAGTCATGATTATGAGATAAATAGTTGAAATGATTAACGTCAAAAACGTCTGTCATATTGACATTTGTTGTACTGACATTGTCATATCAAAATTTTATGTAAATTGGTTGTTAGTTTTTACTTGTGTCATAATTTTGGCTTATATCTCAATTTTGACTTAGTATCTCATAATTTTCTCTTTATATTTCAAAATCATGAGTCATGGTTTATGAGATAAATAGTTGAAATGATTAACGTCAAAAACGTCTGTCATATTGACATTTGTTGTACTGACATTGTCATATCTCATAATTTTCGGCTTTTGTCATAACTGACTTTTTATTTTATAATATTGATTTACTAGCATAATTATTACTTTTTATGTGATCATTTCAAAATTTTATGTAAATTGGTTGTTAGTTTTTACTTGTGTCATAATTTTGGCTTATATCTCAATTTTGACTTAGTATCTCATAATTTTCTCTTTATATTTCATAATCATGAGTCATGGTTATGCGATAAATACTTGAAATTATGGGGTAAAAAAGTAAAAAAATGGTCACATTAACATTGTCATATCTCATAATTTCAACTTTCTGACACAATTATGACTTTTGTCATCATTTCAACTATTTATGTCAATTGTTTTTGTTAACTTTTTGTCATTTTGACTTTTATTCTCATAATTCTGACTTACTGTCATGATTATGACTTTATTGGTAATTTCAATTTATGCAATAATTTTGGCTTTTCATCTCATAATTATGATTTAGTATCTCATCATTTTCACTTTTTCTCTCATATTTTTGATATTATAATTCTGATTTACCAAAGCATTATTTTTTCATGTGTGGCAGAAATGGGTTTCCATACTATGGAGTGAAGGGATAGAAAAAAATATTACAGTAGTATGCTACTCCATACATTACATCACTTGCTAATAGAGCTGCTCAATTCATATTCCCTCAGAAATGTCTTGGACTCTCGCGTTTTGTTCTACAAAATAAATTACACACAGTCGTATCTCTTGTAAATTTTGAAGTCACCGTATGCTTTAAAAACATGATGTCGCTAACAAGTTTCTATAAAAGGACTACAGTTGTTGTCTGACTAAAATACTAAAATAGAATTGCTTCTGTGTTTTAACGACATGTCTTTGTTTCCAGAAACATGCCAAAGGCCAGGATCTGTTTGCAAAAGTGTGCGACCACCTGAACCTATTAGAGAAGGACTATTACGGTCTGGCCATATGGGAGACGCCAACCATAAAGGTGCCTCAATCTGTTAGCACCCACTCTCGCTCTTTTAATATTAACTGTAGGCAGCAAATTTTTTTTCTTGATACAGCATGTTTTCTTCAGGTTTAGATTAGCTTTTGGAGTGTAATTACTGTCAAAACTGAAAGACATGTACATGTTTCTCTTTTAAATTATGGCTGTATTGTCTTTTAAACGATTTGCTTTCTTAACTTGCATCAGAAGTTCTGATAGCAGTAAAACCCTGTTTTTTAACAGTAACTAACTATGAAGTTTTAATAATCATTCTACGATAATTTTCTAAAAATATAATTATAAGTTCACGCCACATTTATAACAATAACTACACAGACGAAAAAATAAATAGATAAAAAAAAACAGACGACTTAAATGCAGTTTAATGAGTGTTTCATTGGTGTGGATACTAATATAGCCATAACAGCCATAATGTAGTTCTTGGTGTACACAGGCCTCTAGTTAAAGCTTTATTTGTCTTTCAGACATGGCTGGACTTCACCAAGGAGATCAGGCGGCAAGTACAAGGTGAGTAGCATCATGCCGTTCAACTCTTTGACATATAAAATAACCATCAGAAAATCAGTGTCTAGTTTTCTGTAGGTCCTGTTTTAAATGATGTTTGTATTTATCTAGGCAGCAACTATGATTTCACATTCAATGTGAAGTTCTACCCACCTGATCCAGCCCAGCTATCAGAAGACATCACCAGGTGAACAGCACTTTATTTTATGGATAATATGCTAACTGGTCAGATGATTTGACTTTTAAATAAACCTCCTCAATCACCCGTCCCTTTCCCTGTCTCTCCTTAATGTTTCCTGTTCCTGAGCTCTAGGGTTATAGCCATATAGAAATTAAATTGATTTTGTGGTATGGCTTAGTGGGATTATCAGATTGCAAAGGCTGCGATTTAACTAAATAAATATATGTGCTGCTGTATATGTGTTTTAGAGTGAAGCTGTGTTCGTTTAGTGTAAACCGAGCCTGGGACGCTGAAACACCATATCATGAGCCGCACGCGTGTAAATGAACACAGTGCCGTGCTTCACTCTTAAATACACAGTGCATATATTTATTTATTGAAATCACAGCCGTCGTGATTTGATAGTCGCACTAAGCCCTATTTCGAAATTGATTTTATTTCTATAAAGCTATAATCCTAGACATCAGGGACAGGAATGAAGTACAGCACTGTGTTAATTTACTGTAAACTGAGCCAGTCTGAGATACAAAAACACTGTATTTTGGACAGTGCGTGTGTAAATGAACACAGTGCCAAGCTTCACAAACATGTGACATATTTATTTGTTGGCAATCCACTAAAATAAAACTTTGATAGTGTAATATTTAAAAATGAAATGATTATTATTCTTTTATAGTCATATTGAATGGGTCAACAGTGGAAATTTGGAATATTAAAATGTTTTATTATTATTATTTTTTTTTTAATCTTTATGGCTACCGAAAGAGGTTTGAGTTGGTTTATGTAAAGATTATTCCCACGTGTGAACATACACATTTTTGTGCAGTCCTGGACTGTAGTACGGAGCCCCGCACATGACATGCAAGAAAAAATAAATAAAATGTGCACACGATTACTATTTCGTTCCCTCGATTTGCTAATTCCTTCCCTCGATTTGCTAAATCGTGCGCACAATTTACTAATTCGTTCTCTCAATTTATAAATCGTGTGCACGATTTAGCAAATCGAGGGAACGAATTAGGAAATCGAGGGAACGAAATAGTAAATCGTGCGCCCAATTTATAAATCGAGGGAACAAAATAATAAATCGTGCACACGATTTAGCCTATTATTTTTTTCCTGCATGCCATGTGCGGTGCTCTGTACTTTAGTATTATAACCATTTTTGCATATTTTTATATTCAAATGCTTTGCCCTTCGAAATCATCTCAATAATTGTAGAAGTTTTCCGATATTGTGCAGCCTTAGCAGGAAACAAATAATTTATCAGGACATCTGAGGAACAGTTCTTGTTCCACAGAAGCAAGTGGAAAACCCTACTACAGTACCTTGTGTCAAAAATGCATTCAGCAGTGGCACTGCTACTTAATTTACAAGTGCCACAAAAAAAGTGAATTGACAATTGGAATCACAATTAGAATAGTTCAAGTCCTCACAATACTGATATCCATTTCCCGCCACATAAGATAGTAGTTTGTCTCTCTCTTCCTCTCTCTCGCTTGCTCACTCACTAATTTTAAAACTAATCTCCGATACTTGCCAGATTAAATCATTAATAAAATAGAAAGCCTCCTGCTGTTTCCTACCAAGTGAGCATGCAATTCTCTAGCCAGTTTCATTATCACACTCGTAAATTACAAAAGCCCTTTCACCCTGAATAATCACAGCGGCACGCTGACGTCACTTTACTGCTGTTGTCATGGTAACCGTTCTGGACTCTCGTGTATTAGATTTTGCAACAACACCTTGTCCCAACTTGTAACATGTGATAACTTGGCACATAATGTCTTTATGTCTAAATTATTTGCGCTCTGCAGGTACTACTTGTGTTTGCAGCTGCGGAAGGACATCAAGAACGGCTGTCTGCCCTGCTCTTTCGTGACCCTGGCCCTTCTGGGCTCTTACGCCCTGCAGTCTGAGCTGGGCGAGTACGACCCCGAGGTGCACGGCACTGACTATGCCAAGGAGCTCCAGCTCATCCCAGGACAGACCAAAGAGCTGGAGGAGAAAGTCATGGAGCTTCACCGCACATACAGGTGATCATGACTGCTTCTTACTGCTGGGCTGATGATTTACCCATATACATTCTTATCATAAATGAATGCTTGGGAAATATGTGTTAATACCGGCAAGATAAATGCACATTTACAGGAGGTTAAGATTAAAATATAAGCATTTGCATTTTGCTTTTCTTTAGCAAGGTAAAGTTGTTATGACACCTGAATGCTGTATTTAAATTTTTATTTATTTATTATTATTTTTGTTTGTTTTAATTTTCTACAGATCTATGAGTCCGGCTCAGGCTGATATGATGTTCCTGGAGAATGCTAAAAAACTGGCCATGTATGGTGTTGATCTCCACCAGGCAAAGGTTCAGTAGATCGACAGGAGACACTTTTCATAAATATGAGGAATAATAATAAAAACAAACAAACAAACAAATAAAAATGGTTAATGTTTGTCAAAACAATGTTGTTTGTCATACTAAATATTAAATTTGTTGTTTTATTGTATTTTTTTATGAGGTTTGCAATACATTCTAATATTTAAAAAAGAAAATTGAAATAAACTTGAATATTAAATAAATAAATGTTATTAATAAAATGTTTAACATTCAGTAAATAAATAAATAAAAAAGATTATATATCAAAATGGCATAAAACCTATTTTATTTAAATACTTTACATGAAATTGGTTTTGTAATTATTGATAAATGCTTTTTTGTATGTTTGTTTGTTTTGTTTTTTTACATTAATTTGGTGACTGGATAGTAATAATAATAATAATAATAATAATAAAATATTTACATGACATAAATACATTAAGTCTCCGTTTACTGAGGCATGCTGTGACTTAAAATACATTCAGTTACATGTCCCAGTTAGATAATGTGACTTTCCCCAGCACTGATTAAACCACTGCCTTCTTTATGTGAAATCATCGATCTGAGCTGTCATAAAATCATCTGTCAGACGGAAATATCCTTCATCTCACAGGAGTGCTTGTGATGTTGCCTGTCCTGTCACTGCTCTGGTTTGGTAGCTGAAACCAGGTCAATCTGTTTGCATCAAGCCATGGATTTAAATAAATTATGGAGTTCACTTTTTAAAAGAGAAGCAAGGACTCCTCGTAGTGGTGGAAGTTTGTAATTGCAAAATCTTTGACCTAAGTTTATTAATTTTTTCCCCTGTTCTTTTTTTCATCTTTCTGTCAGGATCTGGATGGAGTGGATATAATGCTGGGCGTTTGCTCCAGTGGCCTGATGGTGTATAAGGACAAGCTGAGGATTAATCGATTCCCCTGGCCGAAAGTTCTCAAAGTCTCCTACAAACGCAGCAGTTTCTTCATCAAGATACGGCCATCTGACGTAAGTGTACAAAGCCTTAGAAATACCAGATTTATTCAGGTCGCATTACGTTTGATTTTGTTTCGACGTTGCAAGTTGTGATCATTTTTTATGCTTTAAAAGATATTTTTAATTCTTTTTATATATTCTTAATTAATTTTTAATGAATCATTTTAACATAGTTATCATTTAAAAATTTTTTTTACATGTTTAAAAATGTTATAGCTCATTTCTGTTCATTTAAATAAAATTAAATATGAAAATATAATCAAACTTTTATTACAAAAAACAATTTCACAGTTCCTTAATATTTTTTTTAAATAACTGTATTGTTTCAGTTTTAACCATTGTTTGATAATATTATCCAGATAATGATGTTTGAAACATAAAATGATTTATTTATTTACAATATCAGATGTTTGAGACAACATACATGAATACAACAAATTTAAATTGATCATGTTGTTTAAATATATTTATATATAACTGGAAAATTAAGATCTAAGATTAAACAGTACATGGTCTTTATGGTCTTTATATCTTTAAGAAGGCACACATATATGAAATATATATATTTTAATTAATTTCAGAATGGTATTTCAGTCAGCCTTTGTTGTACTATATTTTTTTAGCTGGAACATTACGAAAGCGCCATTGGCTTTAAACTGCCCAACTACAAGGCCGCCAAGAAACTGTGGAAAGTGTGTGTGGAGCATCACACATTCTTCAGGTATGAATGTCAAACAGTACATCATCACAACATGCATTCACATCTTTAGTGACTGTGTGTTTTTGTGAATTCATGAGTCCAAGTATTCCCTGACAATTTTCAAGCGACAGCTGAAAACTCATCTCTTTCGAAGCTACTTGACTTCATCATAAAAACAAAAAACAAACAAAACAAAAAAATTCTCTCTCTTTATTTATTCCTTCTCTTTCTAGCTTGTACTTATTTGAACAATGTCTAAGAACTTGGTATTACAACCACTTCTTGTGTCTGTTTGCCTCTTTAAGAATAATCGCTTTATGTATCCCCCAATTGTAAGTCGCTTTGGATAAAAGCGTCTGCTAAATGACTAAATGTAAATGTAAGTACCTTATGAAGAGACGTGAACTCTGTGGTCTCAGGTTGACGTCCACAGAAGCGGCCACCACTCCCAGGAAGTTCCTGGCTCTGGGATCGAAGTTCCGCTACAGCGGCCGAACTCAGGCCCAGACCCGCCAGGCCAGCTCCGTGATTGACCGACCCGCTCCGCATTTCCAGCGCTCCGCCAGTAAGAGGGCATCCCGCAGCTTAGATGGAGGTGTGTCAGCAGTTATTCTTCTCGTTTACACTTTATTTCGATTGACCGCTTTAGACATTCCACTAACTATAAGTAACTTTGCAACTCCATGTCAACTAGCAGTCCAGGGCTGTCAAAAAAAAATCTAATTTTGAATATTCGTAAAAAAAAAAAAAAAAAAAAATCCACATTCAAATGCAAAAACGTTGCATTAGAATTTTAGGTGTGCGTCAAGGAGGCAGCCTTATCAGTGGCGCACGAGATGCAATGACGATGTAAGTGTCGCTGCATTATAATGTTTTTGTTAGTCTATCCAGCTTAAGCCACTAGATGCCGCGCTGCTGCGTTGTTCATTCAAAATATTGCGGAAAAAGAGAACATCGATGCGGAGAAGATCTTGTTTACATCAAACCTAAAAAAAAGCCGTTCACACAGAACACATATTTTGTGCATTTCTAGAGGGACATCTATCACCGTTGCACTCGCATCTCGCACAAAAGAGCAACATGTTTAACAATCTTTATGGCTACTGAAAGAGGTTTGAGTTGGTTTATGTAAAGATTATTCCCAAGTGTGAACATGCAAATTTTTGTGCAGTCCTGAACTTTAGTACGGAGCCCCGCACATGAAATGCAAGAAAAAATAAATAAATCGTGCACAAGATTTACTAATTCCTTCCCTCGATTTGCTAAATCATGGCTTTCATTTAAGAAAGCCATGTAAAATTAATGCAAGTTTAACTTTGAAAAAAACATATATCGAGACTTTATGGCGGGTTTTTTCCCCATCCCACTGCAGCTCATGTTTTTACACGAAAAATGTACTCTGTGTGATTGGCTTTCTGCCCTTTGTATTAAACTATGCATACATACATGATGCTGTTTTGTTTATAGTTGTTTAAGCAACTTAATTAATTATAATTGGTTTATAAACATTATTTTAAACATTATGCACTTTTTTCACAGATAGTCCTCGTCTTATGCGTTGAAGAAACGTGCATTAGTAATATTTTGCTCGATGCGCCCTCTTGTGGCCTCAGAAGAGAAGCCAAAAGCTTTTCTTCACCCTAACTGAAATTATGCATTTTAAATTCAATTATAATTCAAATTTTAATCATATTTAAGTACAAAATTTGAATTTAGTTTTTCAGCAATTTTGACAGCCCTATAGCAGTCATTAGAGTATTAGTAGACTGTTAGGTTAGGGTTACTAAAATAAGTGAGCACTTCTCACGGGGAGGTTCAGACTCTTTAGGAAAGTTGTGCTGCAAGCATTTGAGCTGTGAGCAAAAGTCACTTGTCTCTGCTGGCTTTGCGCTGAAGGTCGGATAGACTCAGCATTCAGGCTACTCTCTCAGTGTTCACAGCGAACAAACTCACTAACAACCTGATGCTGGACAGCTTTCTCAGTCCTCAGGTGTGGGTTTTGAGTCTTGACTCCTGCTGGCCTTTTTGGCACAGAAATGTTAAGTCACGTTGACAGTACAGTGCATTTCTGAAATGTGCATGTGACTCAAAGTTGTGTCAAGTACATTTCACACTAATGCTGTTCTATAGGATGAATAAAAAAAAAACAGCATGTCAGACTTCATGGGAGAAAAGTCAATCCCAGAATACACTTTAGCAAAGAGTACTTATTCCAGAAATAATGCTGTTTTTACACACACTTACATTTTAAATTTATATTAAATGCCATTAGACATAAGTAAATTTTTACATGCGATTTCATAATTATATTGCTTTTGAAATGCGTGTACTTGCTGAATGTACAGACAAGCATTTATGATAAACTAAAGTATACTTTAATGTCATTTCTATTGAAACATGTTTGCCATGAATTTAAATATATTTGTAATTACACACATGTAATGATGAAATTGCAATTTATACTTTTAAAATATATTGACTTAGAATGTAATATCGAATAACACACTAGTTAAATTTATAATAAAGTACTTTACATGTGCTTTAGTCAACACATCAAAACAAGTGTACTTCATTAAAACATGATAAACTTTATTGACATTTATTATAATCAAATTGCACTTTTTAAAACTGTAGTTAACAAACAGTCATGAACGTGCACTTTCTTTAAGTTCGCTTAAGTGGCCTTTTATTTCATTAATATTATATGATCTGCAATTTAACACACTTCTTTTTCATAAGGGTAGTCAAGATAAACTGGGTACCTACTGTATGGAGACGTTCCAAATCCATCTCTTGAGGTTGCGTTTTGATTAAGGCAGCAGCCTGTGTGGACAGTGACAGCTCACTAGAGTTTGAAACGCAGCCAGAGTGTCTCTGAGGTGAAGTGGAGGTGATTTCTTGTGGTATAAATAAACCGTGCTTGCTTTAGGCCGTGCAGATGAACTCGCAGCAGGGCTGCGATCCAGAAAAACAACCCTGGTTAACCCACTGATAATTTAACCATTCAGCCCTCAGGTAGAACATGAATGCAGATTTAATTACTTTCTGCAGACTGTAGGTTATTTACATAAAAAATAAAAAAAACCCTCCATGAATCTTACATAGTCAGTTGATGCAATCAGCAAACGACCCTCTCTGAAATGCTTGTAGAAGAAAAAGCGAGACAGATTGCTGTTTTGATTAGTAGTTTGATTGACAAGCTGTTTCCTGAGACATTTCATTGAAGGTAAGTTTGGTATTGTTAATTCTTGCGGATCACAACTCCCAGAATGCACCCGTGAAGACCTGAAGCAGTTGTTTTTGTGTTTGTTGGAGTTATAGCCGTGCACTTTTTAAAACTGTAGTTAACAAACAGTCATGAACGTGCACTCTCTTTAAGTTCGCTTAAGTGACCTTTTATTTCATTAATATTATATGATCTGCAATTTAACACACTTCTTTTTCATAAGGGTAGTCAAGATAAACTGGGTACCTACTGTATGGAGACGTTCCAAATCCATCTCTTGAGGTTGCGTTTGATTAAGGCAGCAGCCTGTGTGGACAGTGACAGCTCACTAGAGTTTGAAACGCAGCCAGAGTGTCTCTGAGGTAAAGTGGAGGTGATTTCTTGTGGTATAAATAAACCGTGCTTGCTTTAGGCCGTGCAGGTGAACTCGCAGCAGGGCTGCGATCCAGAAAAACAACCCTGGTTAACCCACTGATAATTTAACCATTCAGCCCTCAGGTAGAACATGAATGCAGATTTAATTACTTTCTGCAGACTGTAGGTTATTTACATAAAAAATAAAAAAACCCCTCCATGAATCTTACATAGTCAGTTGATGCAATCAGCAAACGACCCTCTCTGAAATGCTTGTAGAAGAAAAAGCGAGACAGATTGCTGTTTTGATTAGTAGTTTGATTGACAAGCTGTTTCCTGAGACATTTCATTGAAGGTAAGTTTGGTATTGTTAATTCTTGCAGATCACAACTCCCAGAATGCACCTGTGAAGACCTGAAGCAGTTGTTTTTGTGTTTGTTGGAGTTATAGCCGAGAGCGTCTCCCACAGTCCGACAGGAGCTTGATCAGTTCAAAAGGCATGAAAGTCCTAGAGCTGAAACTAAAAAGATATATATCATGGGGAAAACCCCCCCAAAACAAAACAACAAAAAGTGCAGGTTGATTGGTTTCTGCTCTGCGCTGCACTCTTCCTGAAACCCTTCTGACTTGAGGTGGAGCTAATTGCCCTCAGCTTGATCTACTTTCCTCCTAAACATTCAGCTCTTACAAAAAAAACATGATCTTGCACGTAATTTTATGTTTTGAGATGACTTAATATACTTTTTTTTTAACTTGCTCTTGTGAAAAAAAGTAGGGCACTTAATTGTATTGAATGTGCACTTGTAGTGTACTTTAAATCTTAAAAGAAAATAAAAATTGTACTTGCAGAATATTATATAATATATTAATGAAATAAAATGCAACTTGTGACTTAAAGAGAGACACTTTCATTTGTATTTCTTAACACACTTAAGCAGACTTAAAAAGTGCACTTTGTAAAGTCAAATTAAAAGTTTAAAGGTACATTTTAAATCACTGTTTAATAATCTCTTGTGTTTAAAGAAGTACACTTATTTTGATGTGTTGACTAACATACTAAAGCACATTGTATGTACTTGATTATAATATTAACTGTAGTTTGTATATATAGTAAATGCACTTAATGCAACTTCATTCATCATTGAAGATGCATATGTTCAAATATATTTACAGTAAATACATGACCTCAATAGAAATGACATTAAATTATATTTTAGTTCATCATAAATGCTTGTCAGTACATTAAGCAGTAGATTTGAACAACATTTCAATAAAATAGAATTATGAAATTATATTTAAAGATGCATTTAAGTCTTCAGCGGTTTATAAAGCACTCTCGCGTTCAGCTAATTGCATTTAAAATAAATTTATATATATATATATATATATATATATATAAAATACATTTTCACTTATATGCAATTAACATGCAATGCAATTAAGTGTCTGAAAACAGTTCATTCTTTTCAAACTTAAGTATATTCTTTTTATAAGGTTGGTAGGGTCAATGAGAGTTGCAACCAAATTAGAATTGAATTGTCATATAATAACGAATGTGTATTACTATGTTTGTTTGCCTTAAAAATTGAACCACGTTTCTCATCAGAGGTGCACAGCAAACACCTAAACTGCTTTAATTGAAGAGAAAACCCACACAATTGACGCTCTCTACAATATGTTAATGTGAATATCGATTTTTAGTCCATCACATTAGTGTAACACCCTTTTTCTTTCTCCTCTGTCACAAACAAACTCTCCGACAGCCATGGTCTCGACCCCAGATAAGAACGCCCGTCCCGTCAGCGCTCCTATCATATCTCCCATCTCTCCAGGCGACATGGCTCCTTCCCCAGTAGCATCTGCCGCCCACACTGACCGTAAAGAGATGTCCACGCCCACGGGCCGTCCACGCTCCACTGAGAGGAAGAGTGAGGTGAAGGCAGATGGCTCCAAAACACACAGCACCAAAGCAGAGGGCACACCTGAAATCAAGGTATGACACACACACACACAAATGTGCTAAATAACGTTCAAATATTTTCAGTGAAAACTTAAACACAATTTAAGCAAATGCTTTTGATCCTTGAACCATTTTTATAAACCTGCAGCACAGACTCCTACCTGACTTTTGCATTGTTGTGATCAGACAGCAATAAATTAAGAAGCCTTAAGGCTTATTCTCACCAAGATTGGCATAACAAACCAGCGCAAATTAGCAGCAAAAAGCATCTTTACTTGTGACCCCAAATGCAAGGCAGCCACGATATTTAGGTCTGTGTGAGACAGCAGGAGTATGTATACTCTCTCTGTGCTGCTGCAGATGGTAGCCCGGCGAGAACGGCGGCATCGTGATGCCCCAGTGGTGATGGCCACCAATGGGGAGAGAAAGAGCCAGGTTTGTGCTCATGATTTCAGCCAATCACATAAGAGCATGTACAACAGCGATTTACCATAGGAGCCAGGTTCATTAAGATGTTATTATATGCAAAAGCAATTGACCCTTCGCTAAGTTCCACCCATTTTGTTTATTTTTGCTTATATATGCAAAAGAAGTAAATTAAGTGTATTAAGTTATTAACATTAATGTACCTTATTACACATACGGAAGTCAAAAGTTTGCAACAAATAAGTTTGTTCACTGTCTTTAAAAGAAGTATCTATGCTCATCAAGGCTGGATTTATCTGATCAGGAATACGGTAAAAGCACAATTGAAAATAATCTTTTAATGTAATTTATTCCTGCAGGATAAATTGCTCTTGTGATGCAGAGCTGTATTTCCAGTCTCCAGTGTCACATGATCCTTCAGAAATCATTCTAATATGCTGATTTGATGCTCGAGAAACATTTATGAGTATTATCAATGTTAATCAATGTTGCTTTTTGATTCACTACCATTCAAAAGTTTAGGGTAAGCACGGTTAAAAAAAAAAAAAAAAAGGAAATGAATCATTTTATTTGGTAAGTTGCATTAAAAGGATCAAAGGTAACAGTAATGTTACAAAAGATTTCTATTTCGCCAATCAAAGAATCCTGGAAAAAATAAAAAATAACACGGTTTCCACAAAAATATTAAGCGGCAAAAATGTTTCCAACATTGATAATAATAAGAAACTTTATTAATAATTGAGCAGCAAATGAGCCTTTCTGAAAGATAATGTGACGCTGAAGTAATGATGCAGAAAATTCAGGTTTGCATCACAGGAATAAATTACATTTTAAAATATGCTAAAACAGAAAACTGTTATTTTAGTTTGTAACAATATTTCACTATATTACTGTTTTTACTGTATTTTTGATCATATAATGGAGCCTTGGTGAGCATAAGAGTCTTGTACCTTGAATGGAATGTGAGTCACTTTGGATTAAAGTGTCTGCCAAATGCATAAATTTAAAATGTAACAATGTAGTGTTGGATTGGTCAGTAATGTTAAGGTGGGGCTTAGCAAAGGATCAATTCCAAAAGCAGCAAAAGCAGTATTCGCGTCGGGGTCCTGATCATCCTGTCGGGGGTTATTCTGCGATAACAACCGGCTGGATGTACATTATCCCGCTTATTACACGGCTACTTGCCACATAAGTAAATAATTAGACATGAAATATTGATTTGAGTTGAAATATTTGAACGCAAAGCTTTGCGAGCAAGCGGCAAGTTCAAACTAGATGGACATTTAAGAGATACGGTGCAGTTACACAACATTTCACCACATACATAATCATGACAATAAAAGATTTAAGATGAAAATGTTTTAAAATCTTACCAGTTTGTTAGTTATCTTATAATCCAATTACAGCATACAAAACAATCGTCACAAAATGGCAGCAGATGCGTTTGAATGAAATGCGAGAGCAAGTCCGCGATACCAGGATGACATAATTAAGTCATTGTACACAATTTTGAATCGAATTTTAATATTTTATTAGGTAAACAAATGCAAGACTTACACCAAGAAAAAACTGTTCCTGACAAGAGTACAGCGCCGACTTCAGTTACCCGGATGAGCCTGTGTTATTAGTTTTTACCGGTTGTTATTGAGGGATAACATAGTGCTGGGTGGTATACCGGTTCATACCGAATACCGGTGTTTATTTTTGTTATGATATGAATTTTTAAAATACCACAATACCGGTGTATGTCTCGTAAACAACGTTGGGAACGCCACACTGTTTGAAAGGGGTTCCTTTTCACTGGTGCACTGTGGTGAGGGAACAGCTGTATGTGTTACTAAGCGTGAAAGTTCAGAAACTGAAGCTGTACAACTAATATAACGTGATGACGCAGAAGAACTCATCCACAATATCCACATCGACCGCCACAAATATCCACCGCCCCCTGCCATCAGCTCCCGCGTCTCACACACACACGAGCGCGACTTTAGCACTAGATTTAGCAACTTTCAGACCCTTTTAGCGGCTTTTTTCCATAGAATATTCATACTGACAAACCTAGCCACTTTTTTGGATAAACCTTAGCTATGGTTCACAGACACGCGGTTTTGTGTAGTACTCTCACTGAAGCGCGCGTGACGCTTCTGGTGATATTAACCTCTGCCGTCTCACTAATGAGGACATAAACACTGCTCTGAGAGTCTCTTCATGAGCATTTGACCATTTCATCTGAGTAAAACTATCAACATGTCATACACACACAGAAATGTAAAGGTATTCACAGCAACCCGTCAAAATAAAACTTCGGTTTAACTTGAGGGCATTGGCTGAAATATATTACTGTTGTTGAGTAGAATGTACGTAACAGGCTGATACTACTGCTACTACAATTATTAAAACCTTATGTTTAAGGAATAAGCTATACAAATATTTAAAAAATCATAAGGCTATTGTAAAAATAAATTAAACTTCTTTTATGCTTTCAAATAATTAGACATGCTAAAACTTGGTTACAATAAAACAAAAGGTTGGAAAAAATAAAACATTTCATAGGGCCCTAAACATGTAATATTTGTTAAACTATTAATAATTTGATTTTATATTGTTTAAGTTTCATGATTTTAATTAATTAGACATGCTTTTTGATTAATAAAATATAATTTAACCATTAAAAAGGAGTGCAGAACCCGCCCACCCCCCTGTATACCACTGTAGTGTGGTATTTTTTGACAATGTTCACTCATCATGACAGTAAAATAGGGCATTCTAAGTCAATATACTGCAGTATTTCCTCTCTCAATCAGTAGAAAATATGGTTAACACCCGGTCATGCATCAAAAAAAAAAATACCGTCATGTACCGTGAAACCGGTATAATTTAGAAAAATACCTTAATATACATTTTTGGTCATACCGCCCAGCACTAGGATAACATACCTCGGACTGACCAATCAGAATCAAGTATTCCACAGAGCCGTGTAATAAGACTTGAATAACAAATCTTCAGCAGATAGTTGTGTTAAACTATATATTAGTGCATGCTGACAATATTACATAATATAAGACATAAATTAACAGCTATGAAGAAATTACAACCATCGTGAATGTTTTTTTTAGTAGCAAAGTGGCTTGTTTCATAAACACTTACATGCTCTCTTCCTTCCCCTCTGGGGTCTGAACAGTCGCCACGGGCGGACACAAAGATGGTGTGCATGAGGAAGGTCAGAGCTCGTTCCGTACGGGTATCGCAGCATGAGGACGATGCCTTTGTACTCATCATCTCCTCACTGCCCATGTTTTACAACAAAAATATAATTTTATTATTGTTTTCTCATCTGCTTTGGCTGTATCTTGCTTGCACTTGTATGAGTTTGGCTGTACCAGACAGCACTGTAGCTGTCAGATATGTACTGTACCTATTCCTGGCAGCGACAGTGACAGTGACCAGTCAGTACAAACTGAGGTTTACGGAATGAGGAAAGTGTTCATTATGAGTGAAGTACAAATGACTTGTGGCATTTACTCTAGCATGCATTGTCAACTGAAACATGCTGATAATGTACAACAGAACTGCAGAACTAAATCAATGAGATGTTTGCCCTTTATATACACTACCAGTCAGAGGTTTGAGCATACCTGTTTTCCCGAAAAAACCCCACATCCTGGATGATCCCAGTAGTATATATTTTGAAAAGAGGCAGGGGCCAAGCACCGAACCCTGTGGTACCCCTGTGGTTAGTTGATACCTCATGATCGCCTGAAGAATCTACCTGTAAGGTAGGACTTAGGAGCCTCTCTGCACTTGTTTGTGATGCCCAAGTTGGAGAGGTTAGAAAAGAGACAGTGTCAAAGGGAGCATACAAGTCCAACAAAATGAGGATGGATTATGTACTTTCCACCCACAAAGGCTTCAGTCAAGGCTGTATCTGTTGAATGTCCACTTTGTAATCAAGTCAGACAAGTCAAATCCTCACTGATTGCTGTCCAGCAGCTTGTTCTGTGAGAAGAAAGAAGAAAACATCTTGGTCAGATTTTCGCAGTGAATTGGAGAAGAGAGACTAGTCTGCAGATGGTCTGGTATTTAATGTTGGTTGCTCAAGTCGGCTTGAATGTGTTGGGAAAAGTGCCAGTGCGTGTAGTGATGCATTTAAGATGGATGTGAGTGTGGGTTAAAGTGTAGGAGAGATGCCGTGTAAAAGATGGGAGGGAATTGGATCAATGGGGCAGGTGGTAGGATGGTTGGAGAGGAGAACTTTAGAGACCTCTGCCTCCATGAGAGGAGAGTAGAGATTTGCATGCAAGTTGTGGGTGTTTGTTAGTTTGTGTTGAGAATTGACTGCTGCTGATTGTTACCGTATCTGTGAAATATTGGCAAAGTTGTCAGCCATTAGGGAGGATGTGGGAGGGAAGAGGTGAATGCCTCCACAGTTTGCGAGTGTCTGAAGTATTGTTGATCTTGTGTAGTTGAATGCTTTTGTAGAGGTAACATTGGCAGATAAAGAAGAGAGCAGAGCAATGTGTCTCTTTTCTAATACGGATAGGCTCTCTAAAGGTGTGCTCTCGCCTGACAGCACACGCAGTGTGTCATTCTCAAAACCAGTTGAAACACCTTTCAAAAAGACCTAGACTATACATTATTGGCTAGATTTTTATACAGAATCATAAGCTAGATAAAGCTATAACACACAATACATTCCATGTGTCTAAGACCACTATCACTTGTATGTGTGGCCCGAGTTTGTACTAAAATTCAGATAAGCACAATAAAAGATTATTAACACATTTTAAAATAGTACAATTTAATTTGACCTTATTAGAGTTTTTCTAAATATACTGAAATATTGACTGTATTAAATAAATATTGAGATTTGATGTACACTACAAATGCACATTCAATACAATAAGCACACTTTTTTTTTCACTAGATCAAAATCTTTTTAAGACCACCAGAAATGAATATTCAGTCACGTATGTCCAAACCTTTTACTGGTAGTGTGGTTTTCCATACGGCAGATAATCACAAAATTAAGGGCAAAGGCACTAATATACAGCTTATAACAAGACAAGATTTACAGAGGTTGAGCCAGTGTTGCTGGGTCAGGATGCTGTTTTGATAACACCAGAGAGTTGCACAGCAAATACACAGTGTTTCACCAATGATGGCAAAGAGAAGCTTTATTTTAACTTGATCTCATTACACTTTCATAACTTTACCCAATGCACAATTAACCCTGACCTTGCAGTCACTCCTGACTTCTGACCTCTCCCCTCTGTCTAGCTGCGGCTGCTGTGGTTCATCCATATTTGATTTGTCTCCACCCCTCCACGTCCCCACACACTGAATGCAACTACAGATCAAACTTTAAAAATGACCCAAGAATCGTTTTACGACTTTCTCTACGTTCAAACACTGCCAACTCTATTTTTTTCCTGTTTTTCACAGAAAAGAGCTAAGAAATTTGAGGGTGAAGCTATTTATATCAGACATAGCAATTTAATGTTGGAGGTTTGTATGGAAACTCTGGAAATGTCTTGTTTTTGCCACTGCATGTCTCACTGCATGAGATTCTGTTTCTTTCTTCATTCTTCTCACTGCAATCTCTTTTGTGTTTTGTTTTGTAGCTTAACCCTAAAGGCTTGGCATGCACTATTTACCTCACTAACTGTAATGCAAGTACTCATTTCTATTTATTCTCTGTTTGCTTAGCACTTTTTATTAAATATTTGGGAATTTTGTTTTTTGCTTCTTTTATAATAAATGTTTTTTTTATAATTGAATGCAAAATTGAGCTGATCCAAACATGTAGCCAGTAGTTGGATCACATAAAAAAAAGCTTTTTAATAAATACAATTTTGTGTACATTTTATTTGATTGAACATGCTTTTTACAGCATGTTAGGCTCTTAGCATGAATGTCTTTTATTTAATTTCAACAGTAAACTCTAAGCCTGCTCTGTTCCAGCTTTTCTAAATATGTCTAATGGGCTTTTCACACTTGAAATGAATGAATAACCCATTTATAACCCTGAGTTATCTTGTTTCCTGATCACATAGGTTATACTTTACCTTGGATTGTTAAATTAATCCTGGGTAGTCAGATTTCACAGTAGAATTAGCCTTGTGGTTTGGCCTACACATTTATGGCATGGCTAAACAGATCTATACTATTGATTGGACAAGTAAAACGTGTACAGAACTGTCCACTTGTGAAATTGTCAGCATGGATATTTAATCAGGGAATTGTTGTTTAGCTTACAATTGGCTTTTAATTACTAAACTGCTTGCTGCAACATTCTCCCACCACATTGTTTCACACCGTTTTGCACCACTGATTGGGGTTAGCACTACAGCATAGGTGCAGACCTGCTTCTGAACCAGGATTTCGTGACTCAGGGTTAAAGTGGCCTTTAGTCTGGCTTAAAAAATATGTTTACCCAGGGTTAAACATACTGTGACAAGCCCATTAATACACTGAAATCTGTTGTTTAGCCAAATATATAATCATTGGCTGTACATTTAGCTTGATAATGCATGTTTTTATTGGTTCATTTGTTATCAGATCATATGATTATAATATTATTGATTTTTTAGTGTTACATATTATACAGTCTGTACAGCCTGTCCCAGTCATATATAGTTACTACAAAGGCTGTTTCCACTGTTGTGAGGTCTGATGAGTCTGATAATGAGTCTGAAAACCAGATGGATTCTGTGACATTAACCCCTTCATTCACCCATTGACCTCTTCTCTAACCCTGTGACCTCTGTATCTAACCAAACATCATATATAACACTTGTCTCCATCACATACACTATCATTATATTAAGTGTTTAAGATTGCTGTTAGTGTTTGAGCCAAGCACTGTTTTGCATTTGTTTCTGCTTTGTTTCATAAATCAACAGACATGGGCCAAATATCTATCACATGCTGCAGTGAATTATGACAGCATATGATTCATTTAGTGCACTAGTTTTGCATTGGTATAGACCAATTTGTGAAACAGCATGTGTACACTCTAAAAAATGCTGGGTTGTTTCAACCCAATTTTGGGTCAAATATGGACAACAGTTGGGTTAGTCCATATTTGACCCAACATTGGGTTGAAACAACCCAGCATTTTTAGAGTGTAGAGATCAGAATCCAGTCATTTGATCCATGTCTGACCCCAAGCTTTGTTAAAACTTCTGAAGTGCTCACATGATTACCACCTCATCTATCTCCTCCTCTAATAATAAATTAGCTTTTAGAAGAAGAGTTCAATTAATGATTTAAAATCAGAAATTCTGTCTTTTACAAACCATAGTGAGCTGCCTGCCAGACTAGCTTTTTAAGTAAACTCCAGCAAAACCATACTTGCATCGATTTTTATAGAATATATATATAAAAACCTTATCACAATGCATTCCTGGATTGCCTTTTTTTTTGTAAATTACACATGTGAGGTTACCTTACAGTTCTGCCAAAAAAGGTATCTTTGGAGGCAGAATAATGGAAGCCAAATATATACTTCGAGTATACTTCAGTTTTTATGTGAATGCTAGGCATATGTGTACAGTGTGTGTGATGTACATTTATCATTGGGAGATTTTTTCTGTACACTCAGCTCGCACATGTACCTTGAATTTTTTGGTGCTAATTATTTGGTCCACAGAATGTGGCAACATTCCCATTGTTTTACAGTTCGTAAAGAAACGCTTTGACAAGTGCTTGTGTGACGGCATTAAAAGATACCCATAACTCTAGTTTAAACAAGTACAAAGATATTTTTATCTCCTTAACTTTTGGAGAGAAAAAACAGATACTGGATAAAGATTTCAAGTGTGCATGTGTTGAGAAGACCTTGAGTTTTCAACAGCGCCAACCAACCCTGTTACGTAGACGGCTATGTCACTCCAACAAGGCGGCTCGGAAGCTAGATGGCTATTTAGAAATTTGGCAAATAAGCTGGTTTTCTAATAAATTTTAGCATTAGCAGTGCCAAAAACATGCATGTTTCATTTCCACTTTAAAATGTCTAGCTTGGCAGCTCACTAGAGTTTGGCACAGAACCATATTGTCTTACTGTGATCCTTTTCATTTGCTATCAGTTTGCCACATAACAGGTTCAAACTACTAACCTGTAATGCAATGCAGTAACCTATATAGCTTGTAACTTGAACATTTCTTAAAAGGATTAGGCCACGATGTAAGGAAGGGGGAGGAAGGACAAACATCATGTCTTTTTAGTGTCAGCTGTCTGTCTGAAATCAGGGCTGTAGATGATGAGGGCTGGTTTCTCATGAGAGTGTTTCATTCTTGCAGATCAGTTCTGACGGGCACCAAGACACAGGTCTGGTTTCTTTCCAAAATCTGCAGTTAAATGAATAAAGATCCTCTGATATTTTAGACTGTCTCTCTCTCTCTCTCTCTCTCTGTCTCCCTCTCTCTCAAGCTCATTAATCACAATCTGTCTGTGCACACATGGATAATTTGTTTTGGGCAATCACAAAGCCTCCTCTCTGACATGAATATTCAAAGCCTCATAGTGTCTGAGCATATAGCTGATTACCCAATGCCACTGAGCAGAGATGATATACTGTATATATATAATGCAGTTAGAAGACAGCAAACGTGGAAAGGAGAGACCTGTGTCTTTGTGGCCAGCGCCTCTCTCTCAAGCTCATTAATCACAATCTGTCTGTGCACACATGGATAATTTGTTTTGGGCAATCACAAAGCCTCCTCTCTGACATGAATATTCAAAGCCTCATAGTGTCTGAGCATATAGCTGATTACCCAATGCCACTGAGCAGAGATGATATATATATATATATAATGCAGTTAGAAGACAGCAAACGTGGAAAGGAGAGACCTGTGTCTTTGTGGCCAGCAGGCGATCTGTAGAATGGCTTTGTGTGTGACATTCACTTGACTGAAAATAATGTAACTAAGGATGGGGATCACAGGAAATATACTGATTTTGGTTCCTTAATGATTCCTTTAACTATATCAAATGTACTATAACAATTCAGTGAGTGAATTGTTTGGTGAGTTCAAACCTATTATAAACCCATGAGTTCAGGAGTTTTTTGGCTGATTCGTTAAAAATAACTGGTTGAGTCATTCCCACCTACACCGGTTACACTGTGCTTGATGCATTTGATATAACGTGCAACCAGCGAGGACAACACAATACAAATGTGTTATCTAGTTATTGTTGTTGTATTATTTTGTATACACTCTTAAAAATAAACATTCTTTATTGTCATCTATGCCGAAGAACCATCCATAGAACCTTTCAATTGCACAAAAGGCTCTTTAGATGAATGGTTCTTTTAAGAACTGTTCACTGTAAGGGTTCTTGGAGGAACCACTGTGAAAACCCTTTTGGAATCTTTATTTTTAAGAGTGCAGCTCAGGCTTTCTTTCCAATCATATTCAATTCAGACCACAACCTCTCAACCAACTCTAGATGGAATCTATCGACATTCAAGAATCGTTAACGGAACCAAACATCTTGAAATTATACAGTAAAAATACTTGATTCCCAACCCTAGATATGATGCCCCTGAGATAGTTTGGGGTAAAACAGTGCTTCATGTCAGATCATCTTACTAATGAGATGTCTTCATTGGGTTATTTCCCTCTCTTAATTTCTGTCCTTCATCTTTCTGTGTTCTCTTTTTTTTTATCTCAATTTTGCTGTCGGTTCCCAAATTTCTCTTCTGCTATCCTCATTTGTTTTTCCTTTTGACCCTTTTGTTATGCTTTCTCTCCGCCTGGACCTCTCTTTCTCTCTCAGGACGTGGATAAGACACAGACACAAATCATGCGTCATCACACCAGTATCAGCGAGCTCAAGCGAAGCTTCATGGAGTCGGTGCCCGAGCCGAGGCCCAGCGAGTGGGACAAGCGTCTGTCCACTCACTCGCCCTTCCGCACCGCCAGCTTCAACGGCCAGCTGCAGCCCGACGTGAGTACTGGGGTTAAAAGTTGGATTTAGAGCCTTTTTATGCATTTTTGTTGAAGATAAAGACTGACGTCTTGATGATAGATTGCTGGTTTTATGAAATGGAGGTAACTTTGGCCATCTATTGGTGTTTAGTTGTGTAGTACGTGTGCCAATACAATGAGCAATTTTGGCGAAGAACTAATGATTGGTTTTTCCAAAGTTTGCCAGTTTAGTGGCATCAAATCTTTGGATATTCAGAGTTTGTTTGAGTTAGTTGTGATTAAATCAGATATCAACAAACAATGGGTATATTATGCTTTCTTTTCTGAGTTATCTCAGTTTTAATCTTTTGGATGGATTTCAGTGCTGTTTTCAGTGACTGCGACATTTCTTTCTTCTATGGAATACAAAGTTGTGCTGGTTGCTCTTTTCCATGCAATTTGTCCCTGTGGGAAACAGTAGAAAGGATGCGACAATGCCAAAAAGCAGTCTGTATGACACATGCAATACCCCAAATCTTCTAAAGTCATTCAAAAAGAAGTATAAATCTTCTAAAATTTCAAAAGCATAACATTGAAATTTCTTAAACTTTTAAAGAAAAGTTGCATTTTGTTGTTGCATTTGGTAAGGATTACAAGTTTTATTAAAGGATTCAATTAATTATATTTTTTCACTGATAAAGAATGCATCTAGTTGCTCATTGACACATGTAGCATGTTATCTGAATAAGCAGTTATTTTATAAACTCTCAGTGTGTGTGTGTGTGTGTGTGTGGGCATGTGTGCACACAGGTGAAGACGCCTCCTCTCCTACCCATACACAGAGTAGCGGGGGGTATATCGGAGGTAAACGTACTCTCATTTGGTCATTACTGCCAGGGCTGTGCAGCAACCGCACCTGAAAAGACTGACGTTTCTTTATGTAGATAAAGAACGATGCAAGCAGAAGCGCAAATGGCCGCTGGACGCTATGGCCATGGCCCAATCAGAGTAGGAGATCTCCTCTCTCTCTGAATCTGCTCCCTGCCCGCGGCTTTTATAGACCCCCTGACCACACCCTCTCCCAAAGCCACGCCCCTTTACTACTGCTGCTACTCTCTGAATGGCTACCGCCGGCTTTCCTCTGCTTTGATCTGCCGATCGCATGGCTGGATTACACTACATAATGTAGCTGCATGAGTCTGTTAGTTCACTGAAAACCAAAGTAGGTCTAAAAGGAAAAAGTAGTAAAAAAGCAAACATTAAGAAACTGACTCCTCCTCCTCTTCATTTCATTGTCTTTTCCCTCTTTTTTCCTCTTGTTCCTGTCCTTCACTGGTTGTCTGTCCTTTCCTTCCCCTTGTTTACTCTCCACCATCTCTCCTCGCAAAGTCTTGTCCTGGATCGCAGTCCTGTCCTCCTCCACTTTCATCCATAGCTCCAGCTCCACCTCGATCCTCCTCCTCTCCACCAGCAGGAGTGTCTAGAAGTGCCCAGAGAGGGGCGCGTTCGCTCGCCCCACGGCCCTCTTCTGCTGAGGCCTACTACATCATGTACCAGTCTCAGACCTGAACGCACTAAACTGCCATATCACACTCTCCTTCCAATTCAAAACGTAAAGTTTGAGCTCATTCTCTCAAATTCTCTCAAGACAATATGCTCTTCTAGTTAAGATTTCACTTTTGAACAAAACTGTCCAGTGCCTTTAAGTTTATCCATAGTTTTTAAAAGCACATGTCCAGTGTTGAACATCTCAGTTCACACTACAGATGGAAATTGTAAGGAATGGAAAGATTCTGGTTTTGATTGCATCTAAAAATTCTAGTTTCTTTATAATTCAATTAACGATTCATTTACAAATTATAAGGAATAATTCCCCATAATTGGCCTTAAATATATATTGAACAAAAATCTGAAACACATTGTTTTTTAAAATGAAAGTATGGTTTATTATAATCTCTTTCGCAAAACATTTTTTGTAACTACACAGCATGAATTAAAATCCACATCTCGGTTTAATTTAAAGATTCAGATGACAGAAGTAATGACTTGCAGTTCAGTGATTACGGCCCAATCCCAATTCTACCCCTTAGCCCTTCCCCTTTCCCCTACTCCTCCGTTTCACGCGTTCACGTGAAGGGGTAGGGGTGTCCATATCCTCTTTTGGTTGGAGGGGTAGGGGTAAGGGGAAGGGCCAGACAGCCCTTCAAACGAAGATTTTTCGGGACCACACTTCAAAAGAAGGGGTATAAATTATCTCAGCGTAAACCGGCTTCAGGGGCAACATGGCTGCCCGAGCGAACTAAAAGACACATAAATGTAAGCATTTTTGGCATTAATAAAGATTTTAACGAAAAGTAATCATTTGTTTTATGTTACATTCAAACGTGAGTTCATATTTACGGTCATGTTACTCAAAGAAATGTTAGCAAAAAAATCGCTGCTAACTAACATCATATCATTACAGACTGCACGATAGTGCCACAACATATTTTCATGTCTGATCAGGGCGATAACCATCGTAGAGATTGAGGGGGGCTAGTCCCCCCAATATTTAGAAATTGCTAAACCCTTTTCTCAAATATTGCCATTTCGAGAGAGATATCGAGAGAGAGAGAGAGAGAGAGAGAGAGAGGTGAAAGTTGCGTGAATGCGCGTCTGTGCGTTTCTCTTTTTAGAGTGAGTTTACTTAAAAAACAGCGATTTTATCCTCTCGTTGCTGGAAAATATAATGTAGCGATTCAGTATTTAAATTGTTATTAATAAAAGTCGTGGGGCAGCGTTGACAAGTTTCTTTTCTCCTGGATGTGTGAGCTGCGCGATCTCCGATATATATATATATGTATATATATATGTGTATGTGTGTGTGTGTGTGTGTGTCAGTAAGCAGTGCATTAATATAGAACGGTAATTAAAGGCTCTAATGCACAGCAGTATAGGAGTGTGTATTGTAGGAGCTAGACGACATATGATGACATGTGACGACATAGTAGTGGTGTCCCAATTCTTAGGGGAATATTTTCACCCCTACCCCTTGACACTCTGTTTCAAGGGACAAGGGGAAGGGGTAGGCGGAGGGGTAGGGGAAGGGGAAGGGGTATACAATAGAATTGGGATTGGGCCTAAGAGTACGTTCATACCACACCATTTTCATCTAAAAACTGAAAACTGTTTATGCATTGTGGCTGCTCATTTACACAACAACAGTATTCGAAATTTTGAAAACGGGTTACGAAGTGCAAGTTTTGAAAACTATACCATTATTGTCTCTGTGTAAATTACAAAAACACAAATTTGAGAAAATGGTGATGTCATGCGCATATGTATTATTTGTTCAGCCTATTGGTATGTGTGCAGACACAATGGGCCATATTTACTAAACAGGGCAAATTAGTGCGAGAGCACAATTCCATAAAAGCGCTAATGGGAGTGGAAATTTATGCGGGTGATTTACTGACAATGCGTAAATGAAAGAACACCGACACAGCCAGATCATTTCCATAATGACCAACACAATCTACCAAGAGCAACACAAATTAGCGTCTGCTTTAAGACTTGCTTTTTTGGAGCGTTAAATAATGCTGCAAATCCCAGTAATTTGACGAGTACAAACATTAGTAAATCACGTTGCATGATTTATTTTAATACTCTCCTACCATAAATTTTGCGTCTGAAAGGGAAACTCCTACAAATGCATATTCAATAAGGTCAGGCGCAAAAATAACTGCATCCATGCCTTTTCAGCGCTAATTCTTCACTGCGTGTCTTTAGTAAATCCTGACAGTACTATTTTAGCGGCAAAAGACAGTTTGCGCTGGCGCAATCCGTTACTAAATCTGGCCCTTAGTGTTTCTTTACAAAGTAACATCACCAACTACTGGCCTGGCATGAATAATACAGTGTTTTTAGTTGTTTTCGCTGATCTGTGTGAACGGGGATCGTACAGAAAGTCGTCTGTATGCGAAACTTTTCAAAGATGCGATGGAAAAACGTTTCCTTTTTTAATACATCGCTGTCATGTAAAAGTACAGGTACCGTAAGTCAACAACCGCTCTGGGGTTTCCCAAAAGCATCCTTAGCCAACTAAGGTTGTGAGTTCCTTCGTTATCAACATAGTTCAACGATTCTGTTGTTGAGCTATAGTTACAATCAGCAACAGCTCTCGACCTGTGGTTAGAAGCATAGTTAGTATGACATGTGGAAATAGATCTTGAGCAAAATAAGCAAGTTACCGTAACACATGTAATCTGTATCTTTCATTCCATATATAGTTTATACAAATTTTAGTTGGTCAAGAGAATGAAAGCACAATTTTTAAAGATTGTAAGATTGCTCTAGTACCCCACAAACCCCGGAGTATGATGTAAGAGGGAATCTGCGACTGAATAAAACATCGCTAAATAAAGAAAAACAATGGAGAACAAAAATACCGAAGAAGTCCTCGGATGCCATGTTCATTATTTACAACAATAATCTGATATTAATTTGAGAATGAACCAATTAAATAGCACTCCACCACTTGTGTGGCATCATTAACAGCAGTTCTGTATTGTTTAACCAACATGGTCTGGCCAACAGATGGGTGACAGAGTTACAATGGTTTCGGGAAACATACGTGACTAGCTAGGTTAATTTCTCCAATGATGGTATGGTAATTAAGCAGAGAGTCGCACCGTTGTATGGGAAATTAACCCCTGACTGATTCAGTTAATCAGTCATTAGACTGATAACTCATAAGTTGATTTGTGAGTCTTTTTGATCAATTTACCTAAAAGAACAAGTTCATAAGAGTGATTTGTCCATATATCAGACAACACCGGTTGTGCTGTATGTTGTTGCGATCAGTCAGCAAGAACAGTGAGATTTTAGTGAGAATATTACTTTTATTATATTCGATTCAGACCACAAACTCTCAACTAGAACAATTTCTTTGGCTGTGGTGCTGCAGATTGATGAAAGATTCACGCAGATTCACTGTATCATATTTAAAAGTATTAATTGGTGTTCAAGAACTGAACAGAAACGAACGTCGTGAAAAACATT